AGAGGGGGGGGGGATACACGGGGAGGGCTGCAGGGTACATGAGGGGTGACCTGGGAAGGAGGCTGTCTGGGGAGGGGCAGGGGGTACATGGGGACACTTGGGGAGCAGGAGGGATGGGAATGGGTGTGGGGTACATGAGCAGCACAGGAGAAGGGGGTGGGATACACGGGGAGGGCTGCAGGGTACATGAGGGGTGACCTGGGAAGGGGCAGGTGGTACATGGGGAGCAGAAGGGAGTGGAGGGGTACAGGGGCCTGTATGGGAAGGGGGCGGGATACATGGGGAGGGGCAGGGGTACACAGCAGAGTGGGGAAGAGGTAGAAGATGCAGGAGAGGGGCAAGTGAGGGGTGGGGGTAAATGAGGGGAGGAGGCAAGTAAAGGAAGCCAGAGGCATGGAAAGGTAGGTGGGGAGGAGGGTTAAAGGAGCTAAGGGGTTGTCTGCGGATAGGACGGGGCAATCCCCTACTTGGGCTGTGCTTGTCTTGGGTCAGGTTACGGCCCCTTTCTTGGGGGTGGGTTAGCCCAGGGAGGCCAGGCGGTGAGGCCTGGTATCCTGGGTGCTGCCCCTATATGGAGGGGCAGAACTCTGTACCGTGTGGGCAGAACACACTCTGCATTTCATTTCGGTCATGCAATCGGGGTCTGGCCAAATGAAACATTTTCCCTTTCCCGTGTTCCTGAGAAGTAGCCTGGCTAGCATTCGTGGTGCATGGTGACCCCAGCTTGGTCACAAGCTTGCCGTCAGTCCAGAACCCTTTGAGCATCAGGGGCCTTAGAAACAATAACCATTTCAGCTGCTCTGTGCTTTCAGGCTAAAGGGATCCCTTTGCAGACCATAGCTGTATAGAACCATTGAAATGCAGCTGCCTTTGGGCAGATTCCAACTGGTATATGCCACAACCCTGGAGGAGCTGGGGAGAAATTTTGGCCAGGACTTATGGAGGGAAAACCCTCCTCTCGGGGAGGGTTCCACATGGGATCTTTAAGATCCAAGCTGTGCAAACGGATCTTGGATTTTATGGTCTCATGTTATTTTTGCCCTTAAAAGCTGTCCTGATCAGCAGACCTAGCATGTTGGCTTTGAAAGCACAGAGCTGACACCAAACTTTATGGGACAGGCTGCATCCAATGCTACTCATTTTCTAGGGTAAAGTATTAGTTGAAACAACAGATAAAACATGCGTTTAGGGCAATGGCCTCTTTCAAAAGGGGAATGTGCCTTTGTGTATTCAAACTCTATAACATGAGACAGGTGAAGGCTTCAGAAGATGCAAGAGACAGAGGAGATGTGCAGAGGGGAACACACTTCTGTAGAGTGGGGTTTGGATTCTGGATCACAGGGGAGGAAATTAGTATGGTGGCCTATTCCGGGCAAGCCCTCTGCCCCCTCCCTCTTTTTTGCCGTACTGTAACAAGCGATGATCCTGTGGCACCTCAGAGACCAAGGAAAATACATAGAAGCTTTTGTGGGCAAAACCACTTCATCAGATGAATTGGATCTGATTTGTCCAATGAGGTGGGTTTTGCCCACAAAAGCTCACGAGTCTATATATTTTGCTTGGGCTTTAAGGTGCCACGGGGCTGCTCGTTCTTAAAGTTACAGACTAACACTGCGACCCCTCTGCGATTTTGTAACAAGGGAGGATTGATTGGGATGAAGACACAATGGTTCATCAGTCTAGTCTAACTTCATCTTGGTCCCATGTAGGAATAACTAATGTGCAATGAAACGTTTATTAGCCGTGGATTGCAGTGTACTCTGTGGCAGGGGTGGGGAACCTAAGGCCTGGGAGCTGGATGTGGCCCTTGAGGCTCAGGGGTCACCCCCAGCATTGGGGAGCCTATGCTGGTGCAGAGCACACACCATCTAGTAGCCTGGGCCCCCCTATGCTCTGTGCAAGGGAAATGTGAGGCGTGTCTTCTTCTCAGGAGTCACGTCAGTGAAGGGTGGGGTTTTTTGTGGCTTCTCACTTGTGAGGCCCCCCCGACCCAAAAAAGGCCCCCCACCCCCACTCTGCGGCATAAGGGGAGCCTCCAAAATATTTGTGTTGGTGTAGAATAATCACAAGATGCTTTCCCACTGCACCACGTACAGCATAGCAGAACTGTCGCCAGCTGTTACATGATCAGAAAGCGCATGCTGTAAAAACCACAGGAACAGCAGCTGACGTAAAGGGTGGTGCATCTGTGTTTGGAGGATGCTAAGCTGGAGGTATTATGGCTGGGCAATCCAAAAACACCCCAACACCCAATGGTACTAGATGTGTCTTCTGCTGGCACCTGTTCCTCCGGGGCAGAGCTGCTGTTCTGTTCCGTGAGCTCCTTGGCAGAGCGCCTCAGTGTGTTTTAAGGTTTTTTGAGGGAGTATAATTGTGAAATTGTCGCACATCGAGGATCATGGTGCATCTGGGCTGTAGTCAGATAACGTGAGGCCAGGGCCCAGCGATGAATTATTTCACACATGGGCATAATAGGTAGCACTGAAAACCAGGGACAGTTGAAAGCCCTGATCCTGCGGTTATGGCTGCTCTGCTACCTATGGGCCTCCATGCAGGCTTCCTTAGGGCCTCTTCTAGGACCCCATCAGAGGGGCTCCTAATTGGCCCAAAAGGTGGCAATACAAAGTGATCCGGTCCCCCGAGCTTGCCTGGATTGCTTTGATAACGAGGGGTCCCAGAGCACCAGCAATCCATAGCTCCGTGTTCACCCCTCACCAGAAATAATGACGACCCCAGGGTCCAATCCCACCTCATGGGAGAGGTCCCAGCTCCCTCTGATGGTCCCTTTTACTTTAATGGGGCTGGGGCTGGGGCTGGGCCGGGGCTCACTAAATGGAATA